CTGAGTGATTCTGAGCCTGGCAGTCCTAACTAACCAACCCGCATCGTCCTGAGCTCTCGACGCCTCCCGCCCAGTCTGCGCCCGGCCACCCTGACCCCAGCAGGCCATCCTCTGCACACATGGGGTGACCGCCAGTCACTTACACAGAAGCCACTTGCATTCCTACACACATCCTCGGACCCGTCATGAGTCTACAGTCACCCTCAAATGCCACGGGGAGAGGCACTCACCTGCACCTGCTGCCTGTGGACCCACAAACAGCCGTGCCCCCCAGAACTCCATCCCTACTTCCGTGCTTGTCCAAGCAATACAGTCACGAAATAGTCTGGAACCCTTCACGTGGTGTTTCATTCTTGACTGAGACCAGAGTTTTTAATTCCATCACTTCCACGACGATCGGAAGTGGTCTCACCCAAGTGGTCACCGTGGAATGTGAACACCGCACGGCCCGCCGGATACTTTCGGTCTGCCCGCGGGCCAGACCTCAGCAAGGCTTTGGCTAAATCACACTCTTACGTCTCGGTTCACACCTCCAAGAATCGGGAAGGCTCCTTTCAAAGGGCTTTATGACCTAGGAGTAGTTTACCGAGTAAAAGGATTTCTCTGGCCATACTGTTAGGAAACTAGGTCCCCTGTTAATTCAGAGGGAGACTGGTGCATTTTGACTCCACACAGGCTGTAAAAAGTCATGATCCGCTCATTCAAGCCTATGAGAAACTCAGAAACGTTTTTTAAAATCCTTCCAATTTCTTACGCTATCTCTAACATTTCTTGACACTATTAAATGGTAAAACACTCTGTGTGTTAACCTGGTCAGCTAACAAGGAGCACAATCTCCCAAATGGGAGCAATTACACCGTCAGAATATGAATTAAATGTGGCAAGATGCAAGCGACGTCTTCGTCACTGTCCACCGTGCCAGTGCACAGACACACGTCCAGAAGTACCTGTTTCGGGTCGCTCAGCTCCCAAACCTGCCAGAAGGTCAACTGTCCTGTTGAGGTCCTCTGAGTTAGGTCCTTTTTCCGACACAAGTCCGCACAGATAGCCCAAGGACTTTAGCTGTTGAGATAAACCCACCATTTTCCGTTATTTACAGAAGTGATCAGCAGAGAATTTATGAATTTGAATACACAAATTAAAATCCAACTAAATCCTAGAAGAAATTTAGCCTTCCTATCCAAATAATTCTCATCTGCATATAAAAACGTATCTTACTGGGACCATCTCGGATTCACACCCGTGTGCAAGAATTCTGAGTGATTTCCGAGGCTGGCAGTTCTGAGCTTACGCCACTAACCGACCCACACCGTCCTGAGCCTCCCCAGGCCTCCCGCCCGGTCTGCGCCCAGCCACCCTGACGCCAGCAGGCCATCCTCTGCACACACGCGGTGACCGTCAGTCACTTAAGCAGAAGCCACTTGCATTTCTACACACTTCCGGCTTCACCCTTCTTCGTACCCCCTCCCCCAATTCCTGGCGTGGAACATCTTCAGCAGTCAGGGAGCCATCTGGCGCATCCCTGCTACCAGACACGCCCTGAAGTAACCAGAACGGCCCATGCAGTGACCCAGTGGACGCTTCTCCAAACGGCTTCCTCCGCCCGTCCGCCCCAGGCGCACAGCCCACGAACAACGCCCACATCTGCATCTGGCACGGTTACCTTCTCGGTGGCATAGCTCCATAAGCCCACAGTGTGGGCAATGTTCGAGTCTATCTGTGCCCGGTCACAACAACCTTCTATCCTCTGCAGCACCTCCAGACAGCTCAGGAACACCCAGCAGTCCAGAGCGCCAGGCGGGACAGAGACCTGGAGGGTGTAAGTGTGGCCGTGAGGACAGCACCCAGGGAAGGCACCGGAACCCCCACGTCCTAGTGCGCCCCTTCAAGCGCGGCCCAAATAACGGGCCGCCATCTGCAAAACTATCAGGGGAGAGAAGGGACGGAACAATAATCCCATCGGCTCGCTTATGGAGAGGGGAGGGGTGATCTACGTCCAAACACGGTATTTGGTTTTACATTTCCAACGACAGGAGAGACCGGGCAGGGATAGAACGTTCAATAATATATTCTGGAAAGATCATTAAGAAAAGAAGCCCACAAAAAGGGTGACTGTCAGCATTCACTCTAAGTCTGAAGAGGCCACATGACAAAGGGCAGAGGCCAGGACCTCAGATGAGCACTGGGCCCCATTTCAGAAAGATCATGCTCCATACGTGAGATGCGAACATCAAGTAGCTGTCAGGTGACACTCGGGAATTATACAACATGGTAATCTTCTCAGGTGTCATTATGTTTGTTAAAAAGAACTCTTGCTGCCTCGAGATACACAGCGAACGACTACCCACAATTAAAACATGATGTCTAAGATCTGCCTAAAAATAATGCAGGGGAAAGCGGGCAGGGACACGGATGAAACAAGAGAATGGTCGTCTGCTGTGGCTGGGGACGGGTCACCCAGAAGTTCATCACGTTATCCTCTCGACTGTTGTGTGTATTTGAGCCTCTCCATTAAAGGACCAGTAAGATAAATATTACATTACCACATACGCAAAAAACCATCAACTGCACAGAACCAATTCTGAGATGCACTTTTTCCCACACTTAAGCACCTCTGAAATAGGAATGTGTCTCCCACCAATGGCATCTTAACACATAAAGTTGACAGGACCGACCGTTTTCTTGACGGCACTAATGTCATGAGGGATCTTACATCCGGTATCCCAGTTTGCTGAGATATGTTAATACGAACTATTCAAAAATGGGAACGTCAGAGGTAATTCTACACCAGGTGACGAGGGAAGCTGCTAACGCTGACAAAAAGCCTCCTTCAACACACCCTGAGCACAAGTAAAAGGACCTGGAACCAACTAGAAGGAGCCAGGGTGCCGTTTCATGGTCCTGTAAAAGCCAAATTGCCCCGTCTCTGCAAAATGAGATGAACCATTTAGATGTCTGAAGAGAAAACCTGGCAGAGACAACGGACCACACGCAGGGACGCGCAGAAGAACTGTCAGCAGGAGACAGCCCGGGAGCCTGATGGGGCACGTCCCTCCCTCCCCAGTCAAACCGGGGTGGGCTCTCGGTCAGCTGACTCAGCTCGGCGGGCCCTCCTGCGAACTAGGTGCCACATGTCCTGGGTACTGTCACCTTCCAAGACCCTGCGACCACAGGCAGCCATTCTGTGGAAACTTCTGCTGAACGCCACCTCTCCTCGGGCACACACTGGTTACTCGCCCGCGAGAATAAAGGGCACGTATCAAGGCTGCGCACAGTGCTTCTGATTCGGACGAACCCAGAGAGGGAAAGGGAAACCCCAGTCGTCACAGCAGGCAGCTGCCGCGGGGAAGAGCACAGGGAGAGCCTTGGGAGGGGAGCACCTGAAGGGACCATGGCGGGGAGCACTGAGAGGGGCTGCTAAAGAGGGCACTGACAGGGCCGTGGGGGGGAGCACCGGGAGGGGCTGCAGGGAGGAGCACTACGGGGGACCACGGCAGGGGAGCCCACAGTGAGGGGTGCAGGGGGGAGCTCTGAGAGAGAACACGCGGGCAGGGGAGCACCGAGAAGGGCTGCAGGGAGCAGGGGGAGCACTAGGAGGGGACACGGGGCAATGGACACTGAGAAGAGCCAGGTGTGGGCTGGCAGGTTTCCGGGATCGGAGCACTTGTTGGGAGGAGCGAAAGTGGCCAAGAACCTGAGAGTGAGGCGCCCAGAGGGCACCCGTGTGCACGTGCAGACCCTAAAGAGGCACACGCCGCGATATGAAGGTTTTAGTTCACAGAAAGACCGTGGAATAGGTATGTTCATGGCATCTTGCTTTTCTGCAAGGAGCAAGCACCGCCCTCTGGAAAGCAGCGTGTAAGAGAAAGCAGCAGGGTCAGTGAGCGGCAGCTTTTCTGGGGGTAAACAGGGCAGCACTCGTGGCCGCCACCGGCCGCTGCTGGAGCTTCGACTTGCGCCGCGGCGGAGGCCAGAGCCAGCAGAGCGACCCAGCCGGCAGGTGCCGCACAAGAACCAAGGGGAGGCGCTCTACTACCCAGACCCGGCGCTTGTTCCGGGACCGGAACGGGTGCCCCCCAGCCGGTCCCTCCCCTGGCTCCCGCAGGTCCGCTCGGTAACCTCAGCGTTCTCACGGGCTCCCTTCGCAGAGGTGACCGCAGCTCCTGGCACTTCCCGGAACACGCCCTCTTCCGTGGAAGCTCCTCCTGGGGGACACGTGCGTGTTAATTGGCACGGCCCGCGGCACCTCACAGCACCCCCTGATCTCGGGCTTCAAGGTGCACCGGCCTCTCGCCCTGCTACTTACGTGTGTCCGTCCATCTTGGCTCCCAAGCAAATCCCAACTAAACACCCCAAAGGGACCAGCGACCCTCTGCATGCTTCTCAACACATCTCCGGGCCTGAAACACCCCAAAGGGACCAGCGACCCTCTGCATGCTTCTCAACACATCGCCGGGCCTGACAGAGCTGGGCTCCGGCAGCCAGGACTTCAGAAGTGGCTCATCTAAGACTTCCAGAAACACTCGTGAAACAAACTTCGCTTCAAGTATAATCGTAGCCATACTTTCCTCATTGCTTTAAAAAACTAAGTTACAAACACATACGGGGAGATGTGTGAAGGATACAAATCCTAAGTTTAGAGCTCCGTGAAGTTGTACAAATATAAGCAGCACTCAAATCGAGAACTGACCACTTGCGTTACCTTAGAAGGTTCCCTCGAGGCCCTCTTCCCAGTCAACACCCACCCCAAGAGGAACCCCTTTCCGTCCTCTGTCGCCACCGGTGACTTATGCCTGATTGCTGCCCTTCCCATGAGCGGAATCACATGGAACGGACGGAACAGTGCAATCCCACCTTGCCAGGCTTGTCAGAGGCCTGTTCCTACCGCTGGGCCGTACGCCTTCCTACGGGTGGTTTCCGGGGTTTGGCTACTACGGGCAAAACTCTTGGTAGTGCTGCCCGCCTCTCTAGGGGAGCAGCCTTCTCAGACTCGGGAGACCCCCAAGCCCCGGAGCCAATCCACACGGGAGGAGAAGGCAGGCAGCATCAGGTGCCCCTCTCCTGCAGGGATCCCTGCGGCATCAGGGCAAGGAGGAGAGATCAACACCGGGTCTCTCGGGATGCCTCAAGGCCCACGGGAGCCACGGTCTCTGGTAACAGCTGCACGGGTACGGCAAGGGGCGGTTACAAGAGCCGCCATCAAGGGGGGCTGAGAACACGGGCTCCCCATCAGACGTCTGTCATCTCCCAGTCCAGGCGACTGGTGACCCGGTCCTAAGCCAGGCTGTCTGGAACACAACTGCACCAGCTCCATCCGTTTCCAGGGAACCCAAGCCGGGACGTCAGCCAAGGTCAGACCCTCCTGCTAGTTCACAAGCTCCTACTGTCTTTCGGCAGGACTCATTTTTCTTGGCACGTACCTAGGAATCTGGGATTGCTGAGTCCACGGACAGGCTTGCAGCTTGAGCAGACAGTGACAAAAAGTTTTCCAAAGCGGCTGGACACATTCGCACTTGTATCAGCACGTGCGAGTTCCAATTTTTGTCTGGTGTCGTCAGTCTTTTCTAAACGTTCTTTCCGTCCACTGTGGTACAGCTTGAGAATTGTTCCAAAGTCCCACGAACTCTGGGAAAGAGGGCTTGTTTACAGCCACGGCAACAAGTCTCCACGAGATCCAGTTCTAAACCCACTCAAACAACCCTGCTCGCCTCTGCAGGCCGGTCTGGGTGTGGCGGCCCCTGTGGGACACACGTGGGTCAACAAACACTCGAGTGTGCCACGGGACTCACCCAGGTGGCGACAGCCCCTCGAAACCCACATCCCCCCAACCCCACGCCGCCCAAACCCAGCAAAGATGAGCCTCTCCTTTGCTGAAGGCAAGCCTGCCACAGCTCTTTGTGTCACTTGGAACCGGGCGGTGGGCTCAGCAGCTCTTGACAAGGATGGAACAAGAAGGATGCTGACCACCTGTCCACAGACTTCTGGGCCTTCTGGAGAACCTCTTTTGTAAACAACAGACTTTTAAAACTGATTTCTTGGGGCGCCTGGGTGGCGCAGTCGGTTAAGCGTCCGACTTCAGCCAGGTCACGATCTCACGGTCCGTGAGTTCGAGCCCCGCGTCAGGCTCTGGGCTGATGG